TTGGTTTGGTTAGGTTAGGTTAAGTTAAGTTAGGGTTGGTTAGGTTAGGTTAAATTAGGTTAGTTATGTTAAGTAAAGAGTCTGATACCAAATGAAATATAATCAGATATCATCACCACACACACACACACACACACACACACACACACACACACACACACACACACACACACACACTAACAAAAACTATCGTAACAACACAGCATCAAGGCTGAAACACCACTAACTTACAACACCATATTGACTCTTCACTCCAATAGGTTAATATCCAGATAACATTAACCTCGACCCTTCCTCTGAATACACATAGGTTATGGCCTCCTATTGTATTTAACCTAGAGAATTTATTAAAAAACATTATATATATATTTTCATAGGAACTCGCACTGTTAGGGACCATTAACCTTATAGAGAAAATACATAGCTATGTATCTATGTATATTTACGAGTATATATAACGGTATAGGGAATATATTATAATAGATATACCAGGAGTTAGAGGGAATATACTATCACAGGTTCAATACACGTACAGAGAGAATATATATCACACACAGGTACACACACACAGGTATACCCACACAGGTATACACACAGGTACACACACAGGTATACACACACAGGTAAACACATAGGTATACACACACAGGTACACCCACAGGTACACACACACAGGTACCCACACAGGTATACACACACAGGTACACACATAGGTATACACACACAGGTACACACACAGGTACACACACAGGTATACGTACACACACAGGTACAAATGTTTAACAAGTAATATACTCACAAACATCAAACACACTAACGGGGAATTTATTGCCTCTATCTCATATAAAACGACGATCTGTTTGTTTACGTGTGTGTGTGTGTGTGTGTGTGTGTGTGTGTGTGTGTGTGTGTGTGTGTGTGTGTGTGTGTGTGTGTGTGTTTTGCTCACTATAAAGAATTTCTCTCCTAATAACTGAGGATATTTAGTGCTGACAGTCTCCCCCTACACACACCCTGACAGCTGACAACCATCTACGAACCCCCATGGCTGACAGTGATCGCTCCCAACTGTCCACTCACCAAAACAGGGATTAAGAGTATCTATTTACCTCGTATTGAATAAATAGATAACTGACACTGTATTAATGGAAACAAAATACTAGTTATTAATAGCGCTTATGTCTATTATACTAAAGGTTTATTTACTAGTAGTGATGATTGATACTAATAAGGCTGGGAGACCATACATACATACATACATACATACATACATACATACATACATACACACATTCGTATCTTCCAAAAAAAAATTCTTCGTCATTTAAAAACAAAAACAAAATTAAAAAAAATGCTCAGGATATGAATAAATAATCAAGAATTTAATGAGTATTTAAATTCCATTGAAAACCGCTAAATAAATCCCTCCTTCAGCCTCCCACCATAACACTAATACACCATAGTTACGCCACCATAACATAGCACCATAACTATACATGCTACACATATACAAGGTTAATTAAATACCCATAAAAATACTCTCATAAATTCCTAAGTCAATGCATAATTCTACAAGCGTATTATATACATTACCCAGAAGTGGAATACAACAGCTGCAATACATTCACTGCTGTAGTAACGTGATGTATTTCCAACAACACACGCACTTTCACACACACGCACTCACTCACTCACACACACACACACACACACACACACACACACACACACACACACACACACACACACACACAGGTAGACTCATTACAGCTCACTCAACAAACCTGAGATTATTATTACACTCAACAGTTGATAATCCCTTAATAATCTAAGTAATTGAAGGGCCTTATCGGTACAAGGTCGGGGGGGTTATTCATATGGCCTTGATTGACGTCATGCCAGGTGAGAAGGAGGGAGGGGAGGGTAGAGAAGGTAGGAAAGAAGAGGGAGAGAAAGTAGGAAGGTTCAGATAAAGAACGTGTGAAGGAGGAAGGTACGAGGTATGAAGGTGGAGGTAGAGAAGGTTAAGAAGAAGGGAGGAAGAAGATAGAAAAGGAGGAAAGGAGGTGGAAAAGAGAAAGAGAGAAGGTAGAAAGTACAGTAAAAAGGAATAGAGAAAGGGGAGAGAATAAATGGGGGAAGAGTAGGAAGTGAGGAAAGTAGAAGTGAATAGAGGAGGAGAAGTGGAGAGAGAGAAAGAGAGAGAGAGAGAGAGAGAGAGATAGAAGGAACAGACACATCAACTGATTACCTGAGCACTACACACACACACACACACACACACACACACACACACACACACACACACACACACACACACACACACACACACACACACACAGCCTCGCTAACAAGTAGGTGAATAAATCCGGAGGAACAGAATAACAGATAAAGACAAGAGCGAGAGTAAGAGGCTATAATGTTACGGGGTGACGAGTGAGTGAGTGAGTGAGAGTAAAAGAGAGAGAGAGAGAGAGAGAGAGAGAGAGATGATATCCAG